TAATATATCCTAGACAGATAAACCGTCTCTGCTTAGAATCGTTTTTCATGTACAATGATATAATATCATTGGATTCAAATTTAATTCCATCGATTACAGTAACCCACTATACAGTAACCTATACTGTACAGCAGAGCAACATCCACAACTTACCCGCTTTTTTTAATATACAGTTCATTTTTTATTTACGCTTATGGACCATAAAATGGAATCTATGAATTTAATTTTCCTCACAARGATAATGCTTGAGTTTATTTTCTTATTCAATAATGATGAACAAAATATTTCCGTTAACTAACCTAACATAGCCTTTTAATATTCGATAAGAAGCTTAAAACACAATAATTTAGCAAGAAATCGACAGATTGTCATAAAATATCTAAATTAATGTTGACTCAAAATATATTAAAATATTTGTCTAACTTGACACCTTAATTTGAAAATCATTCAAGTTCTATATTTTGAAGTGGTTTTCACTATAATACTTACATAATAATTCACGATTATTTATTATTATTATTATTATTATTATTATTATTATTATTATTATTATTATTATTATATACCAAAACTGATAAGGTGAATGAAAGCGTTTTGCTGGGATTTAATAATTTTCTCTTAGCTCCACGGCCATGTAGAACATAATATAACTATACTAGAAAAAAATTAATATACGAAAAAGTAGGATAACAATTTTGTGAATTTTTCGGTTTTCTGTRCAAGCTTGGCTTATAAGGTCTGTAAACATTTATGGAAAACCACTGTAAAGTACTAAAAATATAGTTTGTATCTAGTTAATAAAAAAAATTGTTACTTATATAGTTATATCTTCGGTATAAATTAAATTTCCAGGGATATATTTATGAAACATTTGTAGGTATTCTCGAAAATTAATTACACACAAAAGTCTGGGCCTAAAATTCCTTTCACCTCACCTATTAATTTCACCATTAGTATTCACACAGAAGTTTTCAATATTAATACAATATTTCAATTGTATCAAAACAAATATACCATAAAAAAGTTGGAAAATATGTATATTTTTAAATTCCAAAGGATAAATGAGATAAATGTAAAACATGAGAAAGTTAATTTTAGATAAACTTCGSGTCCAAGGTCCATATATTGAAATTTGTTTCCAGACTCTGTGGCATTCAACATTGAGCGTACACTAAGTAACAGACTAAACATGTCCTACAGATATTATATATAAGTATATAACCCATTAATTAATTGCCATTTTCAATTCATTTATAACTTATGCTAATTGAACTTTTTCTACTCGGTTTTCGTTTAGACAGATCGTATAAATGAAGTGCGTGGAATAAATATTCATATAAAACTCAATCACATTTTAAGCAACACAAAAATCAAATTTATATAATATACAATATATAAACATCAGGCAAGAATGTATTGTTTTATCCATACAAAAATATAAAATGAACGTTTAGGTTATCGCGACAGCCTGGAATACCTTCTCTGAATTCATTTTTGTGTATTACCTATATTTGATACTGATTACTGAGTATATTTTATAAAAGCATAAAAGTTAGTTAAACTATTAAAAACCTTTCTACGTACTTCATAGATTGTAATTATTACAAGATTGAAAATGTTTTGCTATTTCAACACAGTATAACCTATCATAGAATTTATTGACCATTGTTATTCATGTCTTTTCGGAAGTTTTTTTCTATATGGTAGGTATACTTTTAAAACAATATATTGATAACTTGAATTTCATAGTTATCAATTATTTTTATTGCTCTTTAAACACACTGATAACGTTGTTAAATAAATTATGAGTTATTTTGATACTTTGTTAAGTTAAACTGTGAAATAAAAACTCGTGATATGTTCTTATATTCAATTTTATACTATATATTCCGTTCATATGAGTTACATTTTATTGTGGCTCACTCTTCAATGGCTGAAAAAAAATGTACACAAATAAATATTGAGGCGAAAACTATCGACCATATTACCCCCATGCAATACTTCGAGAACATTTGTGAGGTTCGTACAATTCATAAGAGTACCGTTCATATACTTACTGAATGACGTCCATCTCACATAATACTCCCCTCCACCATCTTATCACCTCGTGCATATATATTATCAATGGCGTACGCTGTGGTGAGGATGTGGAAAACGGTCGCTTGCTGTGGCTTTTTTTCACCAACCTTAACATTTTTACTAATCGTCTAAATAGGTACCAGATATATTTTTAATATTTCTACGATAGACTGCATGACTGCAGTTTAATCGTCAAGTTATGTCGTACTTTAAAAGGACGCTACACACATATTTGCTGTCTCCATCTTACAAGTGCGTAACATATCAAATTTACGCTCAGCAGATCGCGTTTAGCTCTCCGTTA